GCTTTGAAAAACAAAACAAAAGCGCGTACATTATATGATATAAATACCTAGAAAAGTTTGCTCGTAAAAATGTCAGAATCAAAATAAGCAATTTTTTTTACTCAATGTTCAGAGCTTTCGCAACACAATTAACATTATATTATTATTAATTTTATGCCGTGTACAGTTCGCCCGAGTAACAACCTGTCGCCCAAAAGACCTAGATCTAGATTCTAGTTTCCAGCAACAAAATTATGACGTCTGCCAATTCAGAAATTCGGAACTTTGCAAATTACCTACGTGAGACTCTTGATCTTCTCCGGTTCCAGGAAAAAAACAAAGGACGAGGAAAGAGACGCAAGGACGCCATGACGTGGTGTTGGAGAGTTCCAGAAAACAAAGAAAGAAAGAGGAACAAGGGCGCCATGGGGTTGAAGAGTTCCAGAAAACAAAGAAAGAACGAGGAACGAGGAGCAAGGACGTGGTCTTGAAGAGTTCCAGAAAAGAAACACGAAGAACGAGGAACATGGGCGTAGTGTTGAAGAGTTCCAGAAACTAAGAAAAAAAGAGGATAGAGAAGCAAGGACGCCATGGTGTTGGAGAGTTCCAGAAAACAAACAAAGAACGAGGAACAAGGGCGTGGTGCAGAAGAGTTCTATAGAACAAACGAAGAACGAGGAACAAGGGCGTGGTGCTGAAGAGTTCTAGAGAACAAACAAAGAAAGAAAGAGGAAAGAGAAGCAAGGACAACATGGTGTTGAAGAGTTCTTGTGTCGCTGCTGACGTCACGGTGTCCACTTCTCATAGGTTTTCCCCCTACGATAAAAACATCCTTTTTCAGTTTGTCTGGACGCTTGTCTCTCACTTTGAAAAAAGGTCGAGGGTGGTTGGCGGGTGCTCTGGTGTGGTTTGCCCCTTCTTTCCTATCAAACATCTATCGTCCTCTTCTCCCCTTCTACTTTTTATGTTCGTTACTCTCTATATAACACTACCCTCTCCCCCTCCCAATCACCCCATTGACCTATATAAAGGTTCCAAACGTCGTGTTTTACTATTGTATCCACACGACGTGGGGAACTCTGTGCCACCACTTTCCAAAGAGGAAATTTACTCGTTAATGCGATCCGTACGCTTTGCATAGCAGTCTGTCAAAATGGGGTTTTTTTTTAAATACTGAAAGTTTCAAAGAGATCTTCGCTCTAGAAGTATTCTAAAATATAAAGAATACAACCCTGGGGTACAAAATGACCCCAAGGCGTACGGATAGGGTTAACAGTTCCATACATACCATGTAGCAATGGGACATTCGGCTTATCAGGTTAATGCGTGTTAGAAAATGGCGGTTACATTGAACTCAGGGTTAAAAATAACAACGAAGATCTGCTCTTGTCCCCGAAAGTCACGCAACTCTAAGCCCAGGAATGAAAGCAATGTACGTAGCTTGGTAATCTTAGCAAGTATGTAATGCTTGGCCAGTGAGAGTCGTCAATCGAACTGGGTTGTGTTTTTCATTTTGTCAAACAGTTTTAATTTTGTATTTCTATTTTATTTTGTTATTTCTTTATTTGTTGCGGGG